CGGAAAGAGAGAGAGGGTGAGAGAGAATTGAATCCACTAAATTTGAATTCATCAAATTTTCGAAATCGACAAACAAAGAACCTTGTTCACTAGCAACTTCTGGGAGATACACAGCATCACGATAATGATGACTGTCTTGAAATTCAATCCTGAAAATTAATTTCTCTTAATGCACTTCACATAATAGTTAAACAAGTTAGTCGTTTTTTCTATAAACTGAAGGAATGTGAAATTAAATGAGGAGCTATAGCTCGTACACTTGTGCCCGCACGTTCTTAGCAAGTTTATTTACTTTCCGTAATAAACCAGTTCAAGAAATCAAAACAAAAGAGAACATTCTGCATAATCGTACCCCAGTCATACTCCTAAGACTGACGAATCAAGAAGCTGCAAACCTGATGCCATGAATGCCAACAACCCAATCGCGATAATCTCGAGCTTTTTCGAAATTAATTAAAATGCTCACAGTACAATGTAACTGATCAACTTCATGCAAATTGATAGGATCAAAACGTGAATCTTTGAAGGCACTGAAAAAGAATCAACCAATTTCGAAAGACAAAAAACCCAAATGTAATCTGATGCCGAAAATCAGAATTCACTTGAACTCAAAAAAATCTTAAGGATAATTAATGCACTTCTTAGTTTCCTTTTAATTTTTTTAGGATGAAAGAACTTTACTGACTTTGAAATCTCATGACAGTATTTCATTATCATTGTTTAGCCGATAACCTTTTTTCAGAACAATTTTTTAGTCTTATCACGAATACAAATATATTGTTTTACCACCATCATAAGAAATTATAGAATGCTGAGATGTTCTATTTCCAATTTTGGAAACTATATTTTTCATAATTCTACATGCTAATCCAAAATGCATTTGCTCAGAAAGCAAGGACAGAAGATAACGTGGTAAATGACTGTGGATCATCAAAATCTCTGCTTCACCGACTGCGCGAATGTTTTTGGATCAGCGTTTCCAAAGAAGAAACTCAAGAATGAACTGGAAAAAAAAACATCATTTCCAGTCAAAAAAAAGAAAAATTCGAAAAAACAGTACATAAATGAAATAGCGTAACGCACAGCAACGACACGTTTTGACTTGGAATCGAACGAGGAAACAACGAGTGTGATTCGTTTACCTAGGCCCCAAGCAAAAATGGGTTTAGCTTGGTGAAACCTAGGTTTTGAGCACGTTTCTTTGCTTACCAAAAGCGCCATCTAGAGTAAATTTGTCGCATAAAAGAATGCTCGCAAAGAAAACACTTTATAGACCACAATACATTAAATTAGTACCATTGCCCATCAAAAATTACAAATGGTATACACTACACGGACGGAAACACCCAACTATTACAAAGATTTAGTTCGACATTGAAACTCTGGAACTCGATTCTCTAGTAATCTTTGTTGTAAGTTGAAAATATGTTATGCTTTATGTACCAAATTATCACTCAAATCTAACAATCGTAATGCTCGAAACGATGAAGTTCATTTCACTAGCACTTAATCCTTCTCCAATCCTCCTCCTTTCTTCACTTGGTGTTTAAAAAATTGAAAGCGTAATAGTCATTAAAGAAGTGATTTTGGGCGGTAAGTGCAATCTTTCATCTCAGCTTATGTGGGTCTTTTGGCATGCAGTGACACTTTATTGCACAGCTACCAAAGACCTCAACAAATTAATCACAGTACTGAACGTATTATTCTAACTGATATGGAATGTATTCATTCACTACTATGGAATGTATCAATCTCCACTTTATACAGGTGGAATATAGTCAATATTTCGTAATCCATAAAATTTAGGCATCACCTAGAAAGATTCTCCAGAAGACAGAAACTGAAGGTAACACAAATACAGTGCTACTTTGGTTAGAAATAAGATTTCTCTGATGACTTAATATGAAAATAAACCGACCAGAAAAAACAATTAACGATGTCACTCTTTCTATGAAACCATATTTTTAAATGGGTGTTAACAACTATTTTCACAGCATTTCTGGTAGTGCAACACGTGACAGTGAACTTCAGCATTTAGAATTTAGCATTATTGACTCATAACAAAATTCAAGAATAAAAGAATGTATGAAACCTTATAATAGCATATTCATGTAGGCCTTTATGCAACACAAGGTTAGTGAACGTTCCAATGCAACCGCGTAAACGCCGATCATATCCCTTCTTCCAGGTGACAAACAGCGGACTAGAATTAAAATTAATGAGATTACAAAAATTGTTTCGACGTATTTTTACCAAATTTCGGCAATTTCCTCAAATTCTACAAAAAATTACATCCATCAAATCTATTCCTAACAATTCGGTAGAAAAAACATACTATTTTTCGTTTGGAATTGTTGGAGGTATTTTAGGAGCTTGATGATTGCGTAGTGCAGCATAGAGTACATCGAAACAGTATGCTGTCATGTGCAATGATGCGATACGACCGCTTATATGACCTGGCTAAATCATTTCGTAGTTATTTCTTAAACATAAATGAATGAATGGACAAGAGAAAAATTCAGTTGTATAACAAACTGGACTGAAATTTTTTAGTTCCTCTCATCAGCTGCCTTAAAAAAAACATTTCTACATTCAAATTCATAAAAGAAAAATGTAGGGAGCTATGTTCTCTGGTCCTTACTGTTCTTATCGTGTACTCAATAACATGTGTAACCTTAAAATTGATCTAAGAAACGAAAGGCGTAAAGAGAGCTGATGTAGCTAATCCCAGAATCTTTTGACATACTGTTTGCAGTTTTGCCATACATAAAGGGGATAGCCTTAAGCAAAAAGGTTTACTTAAGCTTTTGCATACCGTGATAAGTCCATTTCCTTACCACATTTTAGGTGTTTCATTATAATGTTCAATTTCAATCCTATCGAGACGAAAACGTATCACAGTAATGGCAAGAGCTAAGGGTAATTTGACGTTCATCACTCATAATGAGACTGCGAATATATTCTTAGTTTTCAAGTAATATTTTTGGAGAGTGAAGATAATATCACAAAACACAGCAAAAGTGAGCCATCAGCAACATAAAAAAGGTATGTTTTACCTTCTTTTCTAACTGATAGGTAGTAGTAGTGACAGTAACAGTGGAGCGTAACACTGGATGCTGGTGCAATCGGCGCGTTATGTGATAGTGCTCTCGGTGGCGCTTTTTCAAATTTGCTTTTGCTGCTCTCCTTTGTGAGTTACGCGATAGGGCCAGAAATACAAAAATATCAAACGTATTTGGTGATGGTAAATTTAATCTATTTTTTCTTTTTTTCTTTCCATGTCACTGCACTTCTTTGAAACTACATTCCAGTTATCGAAAAAAGGTGGGAGAAAATATAAAAGTCAGATGATATCAGATAAAATAGAAAATCTGATATTGTAGGTTGTTGTTAGTATGGTTAGGTTTCAGTTTTATCTTAAAAAGTTTTTTAAATTTGGAAGAATTTTCTCAATGAAGTAAAATCAACCGCCTGTGCAATTACTTTTACTTCATTAAGTGGGTATCGCAGATCTCTTCAGTGGAGAGAGTTAGAGAGCAGCAATAGCCACAGACATCACCAATGCTATGCTAGTAGGAATAATTTGAACTAATGAAATCAATATCGTGCAATTAATTCATACATTCCATTACCCACATTTGCAATATACTATATTTGTATCAGCTCTTATTTCTGGAAGCGAAAGAAAAGAAATGGGATCATAATATCAGATCAGCAGGCTTATTCGACGAGCAGTTGCTTGCAAGTAAGAAGCTGACGTAACAAAAAGAAAAATCGATCCTTGCAAACAGCAGAACATGCTGTAAAAAGTATGGCACAATATAAATGTCGCACAAAACGTTTTCTAATTCATAAACGCATGTAAATAGAAAGGAACTTTCCGCCATGAAAACATCTATTTGTCCTTCCAAAAGTATACATTTAAGAGCTAAAAAATAAGAAGGCAAAAAGGTGATGATGTAGAGATTAATGCTTCATGAACAATTTAATAAATACCATGCACTCAAGATCATAGAAATTTCTTAATGAAATACACGGGTTCTGCGTTTTTAGCATTTGCAACGATTCTCGTAAACCGAACAACAAGATAATGAGTAAAGATGAGCCATGTGCATCAAATGCGGAAGTTTATTATATTGCACGCGCTATACGCTAATGAAGACTTATCTATGCAAAATGCGTTTGCGACTTGCATATCGAATGTATATTCTAACACATTCATAACTGTTTAGAAAGTTCTGACGACGATTATCATTTACAACACACAGCGATGAAAAAAATACTGTATCAAATATGATAGTATAAATACTTTGCAAACGAGGATCTGCACTATTTATAAAGTAAGCCAAGTAGCCAACAGTGTGATGACTCTTGCAACTAGCGATTTCAGTATGATGCTGAGTCAGACAATGGCAAGTAAAGCATCTCAGCAAAACTTCATTTGCGGTACAAATAGCAAAACAAATCCATGTAAAATTGATTCACAAAATAAGTCAAACACTGCAGTGGTCGTGCAAGCAAGCAGAATGGTCCAGAATAAGGAAATAAGGAGCTGCCCTGAACGTTACCTAATAAGTATTATTGCCTAAAATTTATCCTATAAAACCCAGGACACGTATCTGCGCATGTATTGTTTCTACATTCCGAGTGGTGCACGAGTGGTTCATTAAGAATTAATGAACTCTCCCAAGCCAAACGCACTTTGTATTGATCTTTTTTTTGTTTAAAAATACAATATGCAAAAGCAGTAATCCTTAAATGCATGCAGACAACATTCAGCGCCATGTGTTAACTGCGCAAGAAGGCCACTAAAATACAATAATTCTATATCAGCAAATGTTTGCGCGTGCTTGAACGAAAAATACAGAAGCAAAAATATGTACGTGAAATTCTTTTTGTCGTATTATGTTTAAATTTCAATTTACCAACTTCACCAGCTATTATGAATTTGGCTAAGACGTCGCCAAGAAGTAGCACCTAAACAAATGCAAAAACTTTCCTTGATTTTAACTAAGAAAAAAGGAAAAAAACATACAATGTTGCAAGAACTGAGGTCGGTACTGGTACTGCTCATGCTTGATGTACTGCTGTGGCCGCTACTCAACGACGACATATCTTGCGGTTAGAACTGACGACGATAACGGTGATATAACGGTTGCAACTGCTGCTGCTAACTGTGTATTACTGCAGCAGCCCTGTTGTCTTGATGAGCTCGCCTTTTTGACGATACCCAAGTGCTCCTTACTTCCCGCCACCGTGGCTGCACTCCAGTAATCCACCGTTTTGTCCTCGTTATTTTCTTTCTCGAATTGAGAAAAGATTCACTTACTATGGTAGTCGTATCATATGTATTGACCGAACGAACATATGCAACGCAAAGATTTCAAAGGAAGAACATAACCTATGAATTTTTGGAAATTTATATCTTCGGAAATTTTAGAAATGACATATGTATGTTAAATTATTTGATTTCACATCTCTTCCTGTCATATTTCTTTTACACTCTGCAAACAATGCAAGCAGTATTAATTCACGTATCTTATTTCACCAAACCAATTCTCTGTGATTTTTTCATCAAAACATTTAATAGTCATGGTCGTAAGATTTGCGCCACCGATAGGCGCAGAATCAGGAAGTGTGCAACATTTTCCCTTCCTGAAGTCATAGCAGTTTAATACCTGTCCACCTCTGGCTTGGATAGATGGGAATCCTTGCAAGTAATGATCTATGTCTATGACTATAACGTCTTACGAAAGCACTGAAAATAAACAAAACAATGAAAATTTTATTGGTGGGTTCTTAGATATATGGAAAACCCGAACATAATAGCGAAATGCATGGAAAGGACAAAATTTTTTTTGTGGGTGAACCAAAAGCCTAATCATATTGTCAAAGAGGGTAAGACTAGGTCATATTGATAATAAGAACATCAGACTACTGAAATAGACACTTATCCTAGTTAGGGAGGATGTGAAGAAAGAATTAAGGAAAGAATATATGGGCTTTTTTATCTGCGATCGAGAACTGTGTTCTCGCGGTTTTGAAAAAAGGCTAGAAAATAACAGAATAGGAAACTAACATCAAATAGTATAAGAGACTTGAATCCGGATAGCAAGAACTCGTAGAAACCATCCACGATCAGAGTGAGAGGAAGCAATCACGGGAAGTTTACTGCTTAAGATGTATTAATACGGATTAGTGATCTTTGTTGCCTCAAGTTGCATTCTTCATTAATGAGAGATGAAACATGAATATCACAACTCCTTTATTGTGTGTATTTTTTTAGAGATCATTTGATAACTTTAATAAATATTCGGAATGAATCAGAGTTAATTGCTCATGTTCAAAAATTGGTTCTCCATCCAGAGGTGAAGCATTAATCATTCCAGATGGTCAAGATATTAATCATTAAATACATGGGTAGTTTTTTTTCCATTCTTAAAAGTTATAGATTCTCAGTTTATTCCTAAAAATCCCAATTTCCGGAACATTATCGAAAATTACTGCACCTTCAGAGTGACCAATTTTCCATATATTTTATATATGTGTGTCTGCACCTGAAATTCTCCAAAGACAAAAGTCACTTTACCTCCAATTACCAACCAAGTTAGATTGTTAATATAAAAAAGAAGCTGAATATAAATCCCACTAACAGATTAGTTTATGTGGAGTTTCTAAAGAGAATTCATGAGATACGAGAAACAATGGTTTTGCAAATGTACTCTATTCTAAAACTCCACATGAAAGTATATCAAATGGAACATATTCCATACAACTATTCCTGCTTACAGAAGAACGTCAGTTACTCAGTTACGAAAGACGATTTGAAATAATCACTGAAGCGGGTCCAAATAACCACGTTACACTCACCTAAAACGATCACGCTGGATCCACAAACTTGACGATGACCTGCAACAAACCATCAAACATTGATGCAGGGATCGTTGCGAAACGAACTACGTCCTACGTACAGATCGATTACGCGAGAAAAGCTGAGATAATAAGTCATTCGAGCGGTACCATCAATAATTTATGTATGTCATGGAACCCAGTCGATTTAATTCATTCATCTTTCAGTGACAGCTAATATGACTAAGGTTTACTTCCACCTCATTTCATAATTCCTGTTTTTGTGAACATTTCATCCACCCAACTTCCATTTCTTCAATTTTACTTTTTTTCTAGCTCAAATTATTCTGATTTCGTGCACTGCAAAACTGCTCAACAAGTGCGACTTGCATGACTGAACTTGACCTGATCCGACTTATGATTCGAAATTACACTCACTGATGTGGACTTCACTCTTTTCTGATACCACCCTTAACAAATAGAATTATATCCTCAGAAAAAAAAAATCTGAGGATATAATTCAACGGTATCTGTTGTGATAATAACTTGGAACGATAACTTTTGCGTTCCCATGCTCCTTCCTTGAAATCAGCTGAAATACTGGCCGAAGAGCAATTCGTGATCTCCCTTTCTTTCAATCCACTTTCCCTTTCCTCAGTGTATCAGTGGGCTTCTTCCCATCTGTCGTTGCTCATCCGAACTTTACTTTTAAGCTGTATTTGTTGTCATGACAAAGCCATTTACCAGATAAATCTTTACCATCAAGCTTCCCATAGCATCAGTATGTCAGGCTAGTTTTCGATCACCCTAAAACTGTGGCATAGCTCGAACTTACAAATCGCTTAGCCACCGTCACTTTTATTCACATCATGACCCTGTAAATAGGTCACCGAAACATCGAGGAAAGGCAATTCTCATTACTGTACGAAATATTAAGAGAGTATGCACCTGTAAATGCAGTGTTTGTAGAGTTATGATGCCTAATGAATCCAGAAATATCCATCTAGAATTTTTCTAATTAATTAGCTCCTCAAATGAAGTATTACGATATTGAGGAGTATCATTTACGGGTTTCCTTCATTCCGTATCATAAAATGATTCAAAGTTATACTAGACGGTCCTAGTGAGAACAGGAATGAGCATTTTAAAGGAGCTAGCAAGGACAACAAGGCGACACAAATCAACCGCCTTAATGCACAATAAGTTCGTAAGCTAACTAAATGATGCTATTTTTGTCAAAAGCGATTCTTGACGAACAGTTCCTTTTAACGGGATGCATCATCTGATACCAATTTTTTCAACAATCATTACATAGCGCATGGATATATCAGTCATTTCGTTTACAGTTAACACGAAAACAACATTTTGAGGCTCAAAAGGACGTTAATCGTAAGGGCAAATTCCTTATTAATTCAGATCACTGCTAGCATCATTTTATTAAAGACATAAAATAAATCCTTTTCTGCTTTCAGTAGAGCTCAAAAATTGGCATTGATGTTAATGATAATTCCTTATTTTGCAATATTTTACAGGTTATATTACATCTAACCTTATCACATGATAAGCCTTCACTTCTCCCAATCCGAACAGTCCCAGAAGAATAGGAAGACACAGAGGGATTATGAAACCGAAATCCTCAACAAATATCTATTGTAAGTCATCTCAGAGGCAATAATTTTAAATATTTTAAAATATCTACGGCTGTAATTGGTTGCGTGAAAATGCATTTAGAGGACACAAAGAGGCCTACCTATAGAAATGTGAGGAAGTGCGATAGCTGCGCATAATATTAGGAGAGATGCGGAACGATGTGTACCGATGCTGAGCTTCATAATTGTTTAATGAAGCTGGGATGGTATGGTATGCACTTCCTCTTCCTCCGCTCATTAAGAGATGAGGAAGGAGGAAGTTTACGCGCTGTTACGCTAGTAGTAGTAGTAGTAGTAGTAGTAGTAGTAGTAGTAGTAGTAGTAGTAGTAGTAGTAGTAAGTGGAAGTGGTAGTAGTAGGATGAAGAGGAGGAGGAAGAGGAGGAAGAGGAGGAGAAGAGTAGTAACGCTGGACAAATGTGCAGATGCGTCCATCGTAGTTGAAATAATAAGTAGCAATGTTTGTGAACTGTGATAGTAACACAATCCCAGTGGCTTAGTTATTTTTGATGTTTTTAGCTTCAGTGCACTTTTAAGCCTTTCAGCACAGTACACTTTCAGTGATCATATCTTTCTGTGTGGGATTCTTTTTCGGTACCACTGGGATATGTACACTGCAAAAGTATACATCACGAGAAGGTTCTTCACTGTGAATTCTTCATTCGTCATCCTGGTAATGTCAAGAGAAGGAGTAAACAGAAACTTATGACAAACACTCATCAATGAACTTGGATATTTTTGATAAGAATATAGATAACAAAATGCTGTGGTTGTTATAAATAGAATGATAAGTACATATTCATCACAATATTCCATCCTAACGCATTTCATTGACGAACAAATTTCAACTGATCTATAACTAGAAAGTTTTTGAATTCATAAGTTGACATTCCAACAGAATGACAACATTAGTTGATAGCGGCACTAGTTTCGATCCACTAGTCAACCAATCGACCGTAAAGGCAGATAAAAGGATGGCAAATCTCTCCCGATCGATGTTATTTACTACGAAACATGTAGGGATTGATGAAAGTATGATACATACACATACACATACACATATCCATACCCATACATACACACACACACACACACACACACATATGCATACATACACATACACATACACATTACATGCACAATACACATATACACATATGCATACGGATTACATACACATACACATTATACACACACACATACACATATACATATACATTACATACATACATTCACACACAGACACGAACAAACATACATGCACAAAAATTCCACTTCTAAATTTAGAATTACTATGAGAATGTACTCAGAGATTTTTTTTTTGCAAAATGCCGAAGTTTTAGAAACAAAAAAGAAGGAAAAATGAAAATTATAGGAAATGGAAGATTGGAAGAAAAGTTGATAGAAGATGGAATTTTAGTGAGAAACTGTGTTATTTAGCAATATTTCTGATATTCCTAGAAGTCCACCACTTATCTTCCAAGGCATACATGTAGATGACTTCTTTGGAGGTAAAATAAATCTTCGAAATGTTCTTCCCAATTAAATCATCTGGAAATATCATCTCAAATCACTAAGAGAATCCTCAACTTAGTGCTCACAACTATAATGAAAAACTTATCACTGCATGTCCATACGTGTCTTTAAACCAAACATGAATCATCTATTCAATTCATACTACTCTGCATTAATTATTTTGTGGAAGTCTAACATTTCGTGAAAAATTTTCATAAAAAATAATGCCCTATGAGTGCAATGTTATCATCACTTTCTTAACTATGCCAATTGTATTAATTAATTGGGGACTTCGAAATTGTTTAAAGTCGGAATTATTTAGAAACTAAGCCGTCGCTGACAAAGCCGAACTGATAAAAAGGGTACTACAGCAAGCTTCCCGTTCCGATAAGGGTCTTATTTCTGAATATATAAACAAACTTGCTGATATATTTGCCCCTCTGCAGTGCGACATTCATCGGCAACGGATACAAATGTTTATCGAATACAGTATATTACACCCACCAGTATTCCACTCTCTCCGTAATGACAGTTTAATCAATATGAAATGATAATTCATTCCAAATTTCGATTAATATTTCCGTACTGATGACTGATAATATGATGGAAATAAAGGAGCATCTGTCTCTTCTGTCAAACGAAAAAAGAAAAGTGTGGTGGGTTTTTTCTGAATCGTGGAGTGTGATATCGACCAATAGCCAAATATCACCAGTGTTGTCGATCGGCTTCCTAAGATCCGTTGGGCTGCTTTGAATTGGGTTGTGTTGTGTTGTGTTGTATTGGGTTGAGTTGAGTTGGGTCAGGCTGAGTTGCGTTGGGTGGATTTGGGTTGCGAGAGGCTGAGTTGGGTCAGGCTGAGTTGCGTTGAGTGGAATTGAAGTGAGCTGTATTGAGTCCACACCGGATTGTAAAGTCTTTATTGAACATAATGAATTAGCCGATTTACAATAGAGTTTATATGCATTAGAGAGTGGGAGTGGTTTAAAATAAAACGTTAAAAAAGGGGTAATT